AACAGTAGTCTACATCGGCTATATCTGCCTCACCAAACTTGCTATTTTGAGAATGTTACGCTTGAAGAGTACGCCCGGTCTTGGTAATATGCAACTTGACAGGTTGGTGTGTCGGGCAGGTATGCAGTTGTTAGTGGAAGTTGATTTTGTTTTCACGTACGGAAGCATGTTGGTTGTGTCTGTTTTGGGAAGCGACATCTAGGTGATGGCCGTGTGCGTGTTCCTCTGGGCGCCGGTGTTGCGCAAGGGTGGACACTAGGCTTAGGTTCCTGGTGTGCTTGTCTATAATGCAGACAGCGTAGATGCTTGGGGTTTGTAGTACAGTGTTACCAAGTTGTGGGGGGGCGTTTGTGTTTTGCGTAGTTGTGCTTGAAGGTTCAGGAGCAAGTTGATGTATCCTTGATTGAAGGAGAACTGAGGATTGATTTGGTAGTTTGCAGATGGTGGACCTTGTTTGAAGCAGGCTACGTTCGGCAGGTTGAATATTTGTCAAAAAGCGGGCATCCTTTGGAGAATCGAGTTTGATTGGTTTTTCAGTTGGAAACAGGTCATGATTTTGAGTTCGTGTAGGATTATTGCAGATGGTTGAACCGAAGGCAGGGAGTTTCTACCTGTTCGATGCATTTTTCGTGTGGAATGCAGATAGTCAAGGAGGGCGTTGCCTGTATGTGTGTGACACCTGAAGAGTCAGTTGGTGCTGCACAGCAAGGAGTTCGTTCCATCATGTCGGGAGGATTTGTCAGAGGCGTTGCTCGAGGTAGTAGAGAGTTGCCTAGAATTTGTAATCCGAGCGTCTGGAGTGGTTTTATCTTTGTCTTCTTGCAGTACGGCCGTTGGAGTCATTGGTGATATGGACGGCTGTTGGATTTTGTTTGAGCCGTTGGGATCTTTCGTGATATGATCGGCGTGAGGCGTTGAATTTCTGAGGGGTTTTGATCCGGTGGCCGGGTTTCCCCTTTACTTTTGGTTTGTCGTTGTGTTTCGGTTTTTCGGGCGTATTTCTCGACGCACTAGAGGTTCTTCACTGGCGTAAAGAACCAGGGAGGGTGTTCGTACGGAGAAGTAGATAGTCGAAAAGTAGCCGTTACGTAGGTCGCAGCTGGGACAACTATAAAGGTATGTGCTGAGAGGCTTTGGATGATAGTGAGGAGTCCCCGTGTTCTCTCGAGAATTGGGGCCTCTCCTCCTTCTCCCTCTCTCCTCTTGCATGCGAGCTAATACACACAGCTATACAGCAGCCCCAAGTCCACCGGCCCTTAACAGGGCTAGGGCTCACGAACAGGTTTGCATCGCGAACATGACAGAAACAGAGAAGGTAAGGAGACAAGAGGAGAGGGCGACGGAGGCGAAGAAAGGACCGAGCGGGGGAGGCAAGCAAGTAAGTCAGAAGAAGTCCGAGAAAAAGCGGAAGGCGAATGATAGAGTGCGCAAAATCTCCAATAGGGAAAAGCACAAGCTGAGAGTCGGGTCGTGGAACGTGTGCGGGTTCNAGGTAAGGAGACAAGAGGCGAGGGCGACGGAGGCGAAGAAAGGACCGAGCAGGGCAGTCGAACAAGCAAGTCAGAAGAAGTCCGAGAAGAAGCGGAAGGCGAACGATGGTGTGCGCAAAATCTCCAATAGGGAAAAGCGCAAGCTGAGAGTCGGGTCGTGGAACGTGTGCGGGTTCGCAAGGAGTAAGCGCAAGCGGTTGGAAATAGTGGACCAAGTAGAACAGAACAAAGCGATCTAGATGTGGATCCAAGAGACGTGGGAATTGAAGGATGGTGACGTGGTAAGCAAACTAGGGAAATACCGGTGGGTAGGGAAGGCAAGAAAGGGCTTAGACCCGAAGAAAAGGGGGGAGGGGGGAGTCGGATTCCTGGTCAAGGAACACTTGTTTGACGTGGTGGAAGTAGTGGTGAAAACGGAGTTCGAGGAAAGCCTATGGCTTAAGATACCTGGGGAGCGGGGTGAGACAGATTTTTTTCTA